AAAAAAAAAAAAAAAAAATTCAGATAAATAATTAGAACAACGGAAAAACTTTAAAACTTTTGAAATATACGTGTTTTTTGTCAAATTTTTTTTTAAGAGACTAAAATTTTTAAAGCATAAAGTACTAAGTATTTAAAAAAATTACTATAATATGATTTGAAAAACATTTTATTCAAAGCAACTACTTACATATTTATGTTCAATAACAAATAAAATGTGAAAATGTTGAATTCATAACGCAGAATAAATGATGATAATATGTGTCTCGACAGAATCTCGAAAACAATAGTACGTAAAACTTCTGATCCAAATTTTTTATGGTCTTAAAATGGTAGCCAGCTCGTCTATATCAAATGCCAAAAATTGTTGTGCCATCAAGTTTGCGCAATGGCACGTGCTGCCGGAGCATATTCCAGTTTTGTATCCCAATGCAGAGCAGCTGTTTCTGCACATTTTAGCATTACAGGCAGCTGAGGCTGTGAAATTATTATTTGTTTTATTATGATGATTACAGGTAAATTATTTACATAACTTATATGTTTTTTAAATCGACCATGCATATTTTTATCTCGTTTTTATCTTTATTGATTTTTTTATTAGCAAAATTGTTACCCAACATTTTTCGAAAAATTGCTAGACAGACAAAATAAAATGAATAATTTTTTTGAAAGCATCTACGTTTCCGAATTAACATCAATAATTTTATTTAAATATACTAGGTGTAATTAGACAATAGATTGTGAAAAAAAAATTCTACATGTTTTTTTCCCCTTTTTTTTCGTGAAAACAAAAATCGACTTAATTGGAGCGTATACAAGTTGAGGCGTGGGGAAGCTTACGAGACCAAACTATAATGAATTTAGTAACATAAAAATTAACGATGATCATACATCATACACCCCTCAGTCCTAAATGTTGATACAGTCTATTTTTACGTTTTTGTTAACAAAAAAATAAAAAAAAGAATAAATTTTTGATAATCCACCTGAAAGACGAACTAAAAATAAACAATTTTTTTGATAACTTGATAAATTGATCTTGTGTATGATAAAATTGTTTACGTTCTGTTAAAAACATGACTTAAAAATTTTGTAAAATTTAACGAATGGATTAAAAATTTCAACTTACAATAAGCAACCAGAGCAACGAGAAATAAAGCGAAAAGAACGGCCCTCATGTTTGCGGTTTTTAGTTTGGTTTATGGACTATTCGAGTCTAAATGAAAGGCGAATTGTGTTTTGCGGCAACTTAATGGTGCTGCTTATAAATGCCAAAATAATTCGGGTAAATCTAGATAGATGTTATCTCGTTGACAATGAGTAGACCAAAAAAAGTAGTAGATATGGTGATGAAATGAACGATAATTTGGGTAATCTGTATGTGAGAGTCGAAAAAAGTGAGGCTCTAAACACTCGAGTAGTGTATAATTTTGTAGATTAGAGTGATTATTTAGTACGAAAATTGATCGATAGTAATAAAATATAATAAGAACACAATATTTTGCTTGTCAAACCATGTTTTTTTTTTGTTTTTTTGTTTTTTTTAAGTATCGCGAAACTGATAACATCTGTTCTCTTCGTGATGATAAAATTTTGTCTACAGTGATCACAATCAAATATTATTTCACAACAAGTTATCGGCATCGAATCTTGGGTACGTGTGGTTGTACACGATCAAAGCTCATAGTTATTCTTGCTATGATTGTTTTTTAGCAAATGTTTGACAGCATATATGCCTGTAAGTAAATATTCTGTAAGTAAAAATTCAGAGTAAATTCAGAACTCATTTTTTTATTTGTAAACTGAGAACCTTTTCAAGGACTACGATTTTTGAATGAATTTTAGTTTAGGTTAAAATTATTATTTTGAAACCGAAAATTTTTTTTTTAGCTATACTTAATACCATAAAAATTACTTTTATTGTCTTTCATTACAGACTTAACAAATTTTAATGAAATTTCACACATAAGAAAGTGTTCTAGAATATAATCTAATTTAAAAAAGAGTTTTATCGGGTTATTCGTTTAATTTAGTAAATAATTTTTTTTTTATTGTAATGCATTATGTGAGCTAAGAAATTTTTTTTAAAAACCTTCTGTACACAGTACTTAAAAAAATTATTCACAGTAATAACAATGAATTACAGTTACAAACTAAACAGTCACATTATTTGAAAAATTTTTTAAATATTTGATATCAAACATTTTACATTAAATTTAAATAGTTAAAATATATTCCGCTCATTAAACAAAAAAGAAAAATTTAATAAAGTATTGTGATTAGTGATGATTAAAATAAGACGCTTTATTTAGAAAACAAAAATGCACATCAAAGAGTTGAAAAAAAATAAATAAATAAATGTTACT